AAATCTGTTTTTTAAGAGTGAAAAATCTGTTATATTAGACAAAAGCCTATATATAATATTTATGGAATTCAAATCTATAAAGTCCCCTTTTCCTTTTTTTTACGAAATACATCCATACACATCAGATATACATTAGATACCAATGGTAATCCAATCCCTTGAGTTAAATAACATTTTTAACTTGCATCTGTATCAAAATGTAAATCAATCCATTTCTGTAATTAGTTTCAAAGTAAACATCGTCCATATTAACGTATGCATTTAATAAATAATAAACTAAATTTGAGTAAAATTTGATATCTACATTTTCTTGAGTTAAATGATTTAACTCCATTGTTTAACCAAATTAATTACGTTGTAGGATTAATGACAACCTATAGAAATAATTAAAAATAATTCAAATTATAGATATAATTCGACATTATGAATTTAAATGGAGTACACTGGAGAAAACTAATTCACCCTTTCTACCATTCTAAATTTTATAACAATTGTACTTTCTTCTTTCTTAAAACTACTTCATATTTCACATATCTTTTTTTAAGAATAAAAAATTCGCTATAACGTATTCGACAGCGTCAATTTGGCAATCGAGAAACTAAAAAATATAATAAAGTGTTAAAAAAAAGTGTGTCACTATTCTACTACTTTTTTAAAACTTTGAACTTTCCAAATTTTTTGTAGAGCAAAAAACCGCTACATTTGTAGCATCAATTTAGCAATCAGACAATTAAAAAATGTAAATTAAAGAAATTTATCGCTACTTCACACAACTTTTCTTTAACTCTTCATTACTTTTCATCTTTTTTTAAGAAGAAAAAAAACTGCTACATTCGATAGCATCAATTTGGTAAAAATAAATAATTAATAAAAATTCTAAATTACTGTACTAAAGAAATTTGACGCTATTCCCGGTAGTTTCCGAACAAATGTAGTGTGCCGATAATATTGACAGGTACAACAAAACCGACGCGAAGTCCATGACATAAGTGGGTGGGTATTAATAAGGCCAGGATCGGGAAACCGCCCGGGGTGCTGCAGGACCGTTGGCGTCATCGTTGTGTCAGTGACGTCATCGGGAACAGGTGACAGCCGCTGTCAGCGAGTGACGTCAAGCAGAGCGGAGCGGAGCGGACATCGAACTTCGGCCGGCGCGTTTGCGCAGACTGGCGCGTACGTGGGACGGGAAATGCACGTAAGTGATGTTCGCACGGACGGAAGCGATAACCCACGCGTGAGAATTACGAACGGGTTAAGCGGGGGCGATTCGCGACACGGCGAGATAATCGTCGTGTCACCGTGACAACGACGGGAACCGCGGAGGGTCGCGATGACAGCCGATAAAGCTCGCCGCGGTATCGCAACCGTCACGACGCTTGATCTCGTCTCATATGAAATGTCATGACTCACCAGCGGCGCAGAAACGTTGCTCACACCTTTGAATAGCCTCTCGCGTCGACGAGGTCCTTGCCAGGCGATGATCCACTCGTGGAAATGCACGCACACTCACAACACTGCACTCGAATTCGCGGAAACGGTCGCGGCCATTTTACCAGAGCATCACGGCGGAATCGTGCGGCGTATCGCTGCTGTATCGCGACGCGACGGACATAATGGCGCCATCTCGCGCAACTGCGGATAAGCTCGACGCGCGCGTTTATATAATCTGTACCGACTCGGTACCGACGGTCGATCCCCCCTTATTCAACTATATCTACGTAATTCTTATATAAATTTTGAAAGATACGACATTTATAAGATTGAAGTAAATAAATCTATTCTATATAAGGCAAAAGTTATAAATCAAACGTATTAAACTGATAAAACACTTGTAACACAAAGCAATCGCGAAAACGACAATCGCACGAACGGAACTGTGAACTCACGGCCGGTATCTGCAAAACAAAGAAAATACATTCGAAAACGTAATAAAGATATTAATTATACGAATAATTCTATCAATGTAGTTTAATAACTATATAGTTTCGGTTAGCTTTAACTTAAGAATTAAAAAAAAAAGATAAAAGTAAAGAGTAACGTTAGATAGAGATTAAAATTAATCTGTATTGGTAGAAATGGATCTGTGAAACGCACTATAGCATGCAACAATATTTTACAACTTGATTAATTTTATAATTTATAGTTGTCCCGATATTTTATGGGTAACTTCTATTACTATCGATCTTGTTACCATTCATTTTGTTTATTTCGGATAAGCGCTTCTTGAGCTACACTCTAAGAGAGCGCTAGTGCACGACAAACTTCTTCAAATCAAAAAATTCAATAAAAAAATAATAAAAAATAATTTTAAAAATTTAAATTATGATGCAAAGCGCTCAAGTAGCCTAAGGCTCAGTTTTTCATTATCTGGTTTAGACTTCACTATTAACTTCACTTAATAATTTGATGATAATGTAAAAACTGTGTTTTTCTAGTTATGATTAAGCAGTAAATTATGATTTTGTGATAACCTTACAAGTTACACTTGCTACGAAATCATCATTTAGTAATTAAGAAACCTACAGTTTTTATATTATTATCAGGAAATCTAACTACAAATTAATGAGGAAATGAAAAGGCGAGCCTAAATGACGCTATAACCATGCGGACATTTACTTGGCAAAACTGTTTATCGTATCTAATCAACACAATGAGTATTAAAATATAGCCGTTGACGAAAATGATTGCGATTACTAATTATCATTCAAAATCTGTATTTCGATAAATTAGTCCATGTAATGGATTCTACGAAGAATCCATACGAGTAATGCTACGATCGTACGAAATCTACTTGACAAAATTGTCACGCACATATCAACGTATATCGCAATATATATCGTGGTATCATATTAAAATGTGTAATATACCTAATGATAATTACGCACTCTGGATACACTTAGACGAGAAAACCGCTTTTTGAAACACACGTAGGAACGATCTCGAACGAATCGCCGATATTGACGTCGATGATACCCTAGAAAATAAAAGTAGGAATGTAAAAGAGTGATAGAAGCATAAGAGAAGTTTCCAGGAATCTAAAATTGAGACTAGATTTCTATTGTGGATACAAAGTTTTAGGATGTTTAGGTGGTCACCAGCAGGGTTGAAATATTCATAAAAATATCGGGTTTATCATTACCATTATTTAGAAAGTAATAATTCTTTATTTTTTTGTTACTTCTGTAATATTAAAACCACGGCAGTGTCGCTGCGCATAGCTTAACGCCGAGACACTACTAGTGTCTCTCATATCTCAGATAAGATATTAAATTTAAAAATTATGTTATTTTTAATAACCAATATTAATTATAAAATCAATATTAAAACTTGAAATTCTAAGCTAGTCTCTTTATAGCAAGCTTTTCTTTGTATTAAACTATTCTAATAAAACTTCAATAATTCTTTATATTAATATTTTTATTTTCTAATATACGCTTATCTTTAAGAAATTAGATTGTAATTTACAAACGCAAATTTTATTAAAAATTTTTATTAAACATTGTTTTTAAAAATTAATATTATGAAAAGCATTTCAATATTCGCTTCAATGAGATGCTGAGAATTTATAGTACATATTACGTGTATAGATTTTCAGTATTGGCAATAACTATCGAAAATGCGGCCTAATATAGAACGGACTAAATTAAATCAAAAAGTCCTCTACCATTTTGCGATTTTCACAATGGTTAACAAGATATTAATTACTAAAAATTGTCAAATAATGGTCTTGAATAATTTTTTACTCAACTCAAATATTATCAACTATACATAAAAACTGCAAGAGACACAAATCATTTATTTTCTTTTCATAGAACTCTAAGAATTTTTTCGGAATTGTTTATCAATTTTTTAGTACTGCATTTTCTTATTTTTATCAACATGAGAACATATATAATTAGTATTAAAAAATTTTGAAAAAATTCTGAAAAAATTTTCAAATTTTATGAGAAGAAAATAAATGACTTTTGTCTCTTGCAACTATTCTATAAAATTGATAGTATTTAAATAAAAAATTATTCAAGATCAATATTTGGCAATTTTTAGTAATTAATATCTTATTAACTATTGCGAAAATGATAGAGGACTTTTCAACGCAGTTTAGTCCGCTCTATCTACACAAAAGCGATTGGCAAAAACTTTCGGGATTCTGTGTGTATGTATGTGTATATATATATATATATATATAAATGCGATCTATTGAATAGTTATAAAGATAATAATAAACTATTAAAGTAACGATAAAAAACAGCTGAAAAAAATGAAACATGTGAATTATTACTGTTACTATAAAAATGTAACGACAAACAGAAAAAAGTAACGCATTAGTTTATATAAAGTAACACGTAATTTCTCAATTTTAGTCTCTAATAGTCCGTAAAATAGAACATCACAAAATAACGTAAAAATAGCTGTTAATTTACTAAAAATCATTTTTCGATCAAAGTAACGATTCATTTTGACGTCATTTTGATGTCAATTTGACTCGTTCTGATGGGTCTGTATTTAGAAGTTATATTTTCGCTAGATTATCGGCGTACACACGCAATATAATACAAACAGTAAAGGCATAGCATTTCAGACGATATTTGCAGTAATCTCTGGAGGGCCAATGCATTTTTAAACATTAATTATCTGCAAAAGTATTGGCACTTACCGATACGCGATACCAATCTACAGCCATGGCGGATTCACTTTACTCATTTAGGCGGGCTTGTTACCTGATTTTGAAGATCGACGTTTCGAGAATCGCAATATCGTATATCGCGACTCTCGAAGTATCGAAATGGCGTAGTGACCAATCACATTGCAGTAATGAAGTGACTGCACTTTCTGCACTTGCGACTCCTTTTCTTGCACAAAGAAAGATTCAATACCAACTTTACGACGCGAAACAAGTCGGTATTCATAGTCGATTCTTACATTTAAGACTGTCTTAAGTACTGTCTTAAGTACAATCTTAAGATGTTGTAAGTCAATCCGAGGACTGTATTAACATCTTAAGACATTATATTTGAGACAGTTTTAAAATAAAAACGGACTATGAATACCGTCCCATGTTTCGCATTTCACAGTTGTAGCCCTTGAATTTCATGAAATCCATAGACAGAGAGGGGAGGAAATTTAGAGAGAGACACCGTTCAATTGCACACTAATTCACAGTGTTCACACATCATCTTGTCTCTTCTACCATAATATATATAGAACTTAATGGTAAAGTGGCATTAAAACGAATTTATAAGGTATTGTTTAATGTTGAATTTATTTATGTACTTTTTGTCATTTAAAAATCACGAAAGAAGTTGATGCGAACAGTAAGCAATAAATAAGTTACATCGAGAAAATGGAGCGGCTCAGAAGAGTCTTAAGTGGATATGTCGTGCAAGCCACGAGAAAACATACTGCTACTGTATTTTGTTTTCATGGTTCTGGTAAAGTAATAATCTAATTGTGTAATTGTAATAAACAAAAGAACGTAATTGTCTAATTGTAATAAAAAGAACAAGAATAATTGAATTTTTAAGATAGTTGTAACTTTTAAGATTTGCTATAACTGTTGATTTTTTTTCATTGCATTTCATTTTATTTCTGCAGGTGACACAGCAGAGGGTTTTTCAGAATGGATTCATATTCTTAATAGAGAAATTCTACAGTTTCCACATATAAAATTAATTTATCTTAGCGCACCTAGTCAACCCTACACACCTAACAATGGAATGGTAATAGGATATAATTATGATTAACTGTGAAATAATTGTGATCCTGGAATGCTTGATTCTTACATTTGTATTTAATTGATACAAATATATATATATATATATATATATATAATATGTATATATAAATATTTGTTTATAAAAATATTTGAAAGTTTTTTGTTAGCGATTTATTAGTCAAGAAATTCCAGGATACTCTATTTTCATAATTTCTTGATTTTATTAAAACTTTATTATAGATGCAAAATGTATGGTTTGATCGTGCAGCAATATCTATTCAAGTTCCAGAACACTTAGAGTCAATTAATTCCATGTGTGAAAATGTATTAGAATGGGTTGACAACGAAGTAAAAGATGGAATTCCGTTTAGCAGAATAATTCTGGGTGGATTTTCGATGGGTGGCTGTCTTGCGTTGCATTTAGCATATAGATATCGACCAGCTGTAGCTGGCTGTTTCACTATGTCTTCCTTCCTGAACAAGAGTTCTATAGTCTATGAGGTAAAAAAATAGAATAAAGAAAGGCTTTTTGTTCATTTTATATAATACTATTTATGTTTGGCTGTGTTCAGTAAGAAAAGTAGCTTTACAATTGTTGTACAATTCTTTATTAGTCTTGTTCTGAATTCCTCACTAATTCTAAAAGTATAAACCAATTATGTTAAAGAATTTTTGCAAAGCTGTTTTCTTCGCTAATAAACAGTCTTTCTAAACATATTGAATATTTGCTTGTGTTCTCTCAAGAAGCAATCATGTTTGTATAGTATACTTGTAAGTACTTGATCGCAAAGAAATATTTTTTGCTGTTGTGAATATCATTTTAAAATTTAAATTGATGGAATAGCCTTTTTATTCTATATAATGAAAGAAAAAATATTTTTATAACAAAGAATAACTTAAAAAGCGTCATAAAATACTTGATTTTATCAGAACTTTTACAAAAGGGTTCCACAAGATTTATTTATTATTCATATTTAATTACAGCATTTAAAAATGAAACCAGAATTTAGCAAAGTACCACTTGTTCAATACCATGGCACAGCAGATACTTTGGTTCCTATCGAATGGGGTAAAGAGAGCGCTAAGAATCTGAAGGATCTTGGAGTAAACGTGAAATTTATGCCGTTGCAAAATATGGAGCATGAGTTGAGTCGTGAAGAAATCCAAAATTGGAAGGACTGGCTCCTTCAAATCTTGCCAGATGAATAATATTCAAATTGTTAAATATTAAAATCATTGTTAATATACTATAATCAAGGCTATAAAATGGTGTATATTGTATTTGTTTTTACAAATACATTTACGGTAGGTGTAATGATAGCAATAAAAATTAAGTTTGATTATGATACAACGTAAGAGTCATATCAATTGATAAAGGAGTGATAAATTTAAGAAAGACCCTGACTCCCGTATGCAGCAAGATGAATTGTGCCATTATGTCATATTGGGTGATTATATGATACGTGCATGTCATGAATAATGTTAATTCACAAGATCGATAAATTGGCCCCGACCTTCAAAATATTTAAATCTTTCCGCACCTTATTAATTCGCTTTGTTCCTTACATTTATTTTTTTTTTCCAAATCGGAGCAGTATTATTTTAGGAAAATTGTTTAAAATATACAAAAAATAAAGTATTTTATGACAAATTAAAAAATAATGTTGATAATTATAAGTTCATAGATTTTAATCAATTTGATAAAAGTTAAAAGTATCTATTGATAGATTTAAGATTTATTTGCTAGCAAAAACAGTTAAAGCTCATCGTTTAGAGTAATTACACATAATTATGCGAAATTGGCAGAGCGTTTCCTTTTGCCTATAAATATTTTCATTATTAAACAATAAAAGTCGATACGCGGTAAAATTTTTTAAAACAATGAATTTCTCAACGGCATACAACCACAATGCAAGATGTTGGCAGCTAATATTTTATATTTTAATCATATAACAATTTAAATAGACGTTTCGACCTTAAATTAGATCGACCTCATCTTCAGTATTACAAAAATCCTTCAAATTTACGCATACGAATAGATTCTCACAACAATGCAACACGTTTTACATCTCGCGTTATAAAATTAATCCAAAATAACGCACATTAATCTTTTAATTATATTTTCAGAAAACTTTAAAAAAGAAGTTAGTCGACTATTGTATCGTATTCTATTCCTGAGAATTTGTCTATTGTTAACTCAGTCAATTTTCATTATTAATATTTTCCTTCATTATTAAGTAAAACCAGGAATTTGAATAAAATCGATACTATCCACTTGACCCGCTTTTTACGTAAAACGAACAAACGTGTTCATATTGTTAACCACTTGCGTTTATTACATGCTTTCATCACATGCAATCTTTCGCTTAAATCCATTTTTCAATTTATTATATTTCATAGTACTAATTTTTTTATGTCTCAACTAAATTCTCGAATTTATAGAATATGCTTATGATCTGTTTTATATCAATCAGTGTTGTTTATAAATTGTTTTTTAGCTTGTTGCTCGAATCCAGACAATAAAATATTTATTATCCGCCTGTTATTAGGCGATTAAAACGAAATACGTCGGCGGATCATTAGTGCATATTATAGAACGAAAAATAACAATAAATTATCAACCTTATTTGCATTTGAATGTAATACAACGATCGTATTTTATTTCTTCGACTTTCCATAATTAAAAGAGAAAACACGTTTAAAAAATTTATTAATATTAATTTTGAGATTTTAATAAAAGATTATTAAATTCTGGAATCATTGAAACCATCTCGCAGATTATAAATACACATATTATGATGATTGTTTCAGTGATATTGTATTAATTTTTGAATTCTCAAGGATTTTCAAGTGTTTTCACGTTATAGTCCGTCCAAATGGACGCACGTGAAACAGATGAACCAATGGAATGTCAAATCGAGAATAGTTATATTGTTGCTATTTTGTGTTTCGCATGCGCGATTATTTAAGCTCAATCTGGTTGAGCTTTTCGAGCATAGGCAATGCTCGATGATGAAAATCTATAGCTTTTAAAACAAATTTACTCACGCAATTGTCAATTTGTCGTCGAGATACTTGGCTATCGAAAGAAGAAAAATAGCTGTTTGACAATGATGTCGATGGACATGATTATTCTGATCTTTCGCTTCTTTCTGCTCTTATCCTTAAAATTTGATCGCTGTTCCTTATTATTCCTGATAAAAATTTTTCTGAGAATTTTTCAGAACTTTACATAAGTTTCAAATTTTTTCAAAACTGTTGAATAATTGTAACTATTTAGAAAATTTCTCAGATTTTTTAATACAAATTGAAAAATTTTTTTAGAAGTGCCGAACAAGTCTACATTTTTTCTAAAATTCTTCATATATGTGAATTTTGAATTATTCTAAAATTTCTGATAAAATGTTATAAATGTTACAAATGATATAAATGTTACAAAATTTGAAGAAATTTAAGATATTTCTTCAGAAGTTATAAAATAAGAAAAACTTAGAATATTTCAGAATTCATATATAAAAAATTTTAAGAAAATAGTAAACTAACTTATCCAGTATTTCTGAAATTTTAATCTATAAAAATTTTGAAGAAAATTATTTTACTGTGATTTTTCCCACAATTGAAAAAAATATGTTTATAAAAGATTTATCAATTCTAAAATCATGTAGCTTATTATAAATTATAGTAGATATATTATAAAAATTATTTTATAATGTTTTTACATCCAATAGAATACATGATTATCTCGACAAAAATAAATATAAGGACGTTAACGTATAAGAGAAAAAATAAAAAAAGTGTAAACGAGGTTTTTAAGAGATGAAAATAAAGAGAATGACACATAAAAGGAAAGTTAATGGTTCTTTTATGTTTCGTTGGCTCAGTGTTCACCTATAAAAGTTTCGTTTACGCTTCTGTCACTTTCTATTTATGCTTTTCATTTTTGCCAGAGAGGATACATTATACAAAAAATATATCTATTTGTGTATGAAAACATTATTTCATTCAAACGATTATTACGTTGCTAACTTCAAAGATACCAAGATATGTTATATTCTATGTATGAAAATATTGAGTCGATTATTAACTTTATAAATGACTACTATTATCTGCTCTTTGATTTTATTTCAATTCGTAATTACATTATACTTTATTAATGCTTAATTCTGTAATTACATTATACTTTATTAATGCTTAAGAAGCTCTTGTTAATAAAATTAGGTCGCAATTTTGAAGACCACCTAATTTTCTCTTTGATGCTTCTCATCAAAAGCTTCAAATTATATCAGCAGTTAAGAGTCTATCCAGACAAACTTGCATAGTCGCATAAATACATGCATAAAGAAAATTATCCAATCACATTTCTATTATAAAAAAATTCCCATAAAATATAATTGAATAACTTTATGCATATATACGTTTATTACAAGTATGTCTAGATAGACAACCCTATAACATCCTGTACGGAGATAAGAAAATATACATCTTCTCGACTTTACTGCCTTCCAGCGTACACGACGACGAGGGTAAAGAAGGTGGAATCGCACCGACGAGTCCACCGCCGACGACGTGTGCGCAGTGAAACGAACAGGGCGAACTGCGACGGGATTGCTGCACCCCTTCGAGTGGCTTCGGGGTGGGTGGCAGGTAGTCCCACTGGCCTGGCATCGTTCTCGCCACCGACGTCGCGTCGTGATACCGACGTTCACGTTTCGTTGTACTATCGACTCGCGAGGGAGATATAAAACGCATGTTATTAATCGCGACACGAAAACACATCTCGCGACGTACGCTTGACGTGGGATCGATGTTCAACGACGGGCGGCCTGTGGAGAACGGGTATGAAAAGGGAATTAATCGGTGCGTCCCTTGAGCTAAGAATATTACTATAGGGAGAAATCTTTAAAAGGAAAGAAGATATATATATACACACACACACACACACACACACACACACACACACATATATATATATATATATATACACATATAAAATGCATTGTACATATATAAACATCAACGGGGTGCAAGCATATTATAAAACGTGAAATCGATACTTGCGATGAGAAGTTCTGCAGAGTAAAAACGTGAACCATAACATTTTAGGAAGAAAAAGGAGCGTAGATGTTCGTGGACGTGCGAGTGAAGTGATTATATGGTGGATGTTCGAACGTGTCGTCAAGGGTGGATCTGGGTCATTGTGAATGGATTTCTCAGCGAATAGAACGAAATAGGATTTTACATTCTACCAAAGAAAACGGATGAAAATTTGAATCAAAAAGATATATATATATATATATACACTGAAACTGCATTTGAATCATTGAAATGCTTTTATCGAAGAGCGACACAGGAAACAATTTCGGACACTCGGAGAACTTATTATATCTCAACATTAAATGATTCTTTTTCAAAATATAGTATAAGTGCATAAGTTTTAACATAATGAGAGACATGATGCGTTAATTAATAATTTATTGATAGAAATAATTATATATTTACATGTAATAAGATTAATTACCACTTCATTGTATGATCTAATTATGATATAAGTATCGTATAAACGACGCAAGATAATTAGCGGAGAAATTACAGCAAAAATTGGATCAAAACTTATGCGATATCTCCGCGCACGATGGCATTTATTGCGTTGAGATAACAAATCCTCCGTATCATCTTCCGGATCTGAGGATACATTGATAATAAAATAGTATCGACGGTAAATAATATGACGCGTATTATTCCGCAGTCGATGACGTCAAGTAACGAGAGACATGTAGACTGTTCGATGTGAAGAGACTGGGCAACGAAAGTGGATGCAACAAAATTTCCCAAAGGACAACGAATAAATTTCCCAAAGGGAAGAAGCATCGACGATCGTGTTACAGAGCTAGAAAATGAGAAATAGGTTTTCGTGACCGTAGTAAAGCTTTCTTAATCATTTGTGAACAAATACACGCATCATCTGTTTTTAAAGTCATTTCCGAGAAGTAAGGAATATAGAAGATAACTCTTTATTTATTATTTCATAAAATTAAAGTCTCTCCCAGTTATTTTAATACTTTCAACATTTATCTTACATATAAGAGACTTGAACGCTGTGATATCTTTAAATAAAATGTTAACGAACTTTATATGAAGAGAGAAAAAAACATGCGATCGATCGTGCATGTTTCGAGAGATTCTTAGTGCGCTTTCCTTCTCAAATTTTCACAAAGATATCCCTAGGATCTTTTTTTATACTTAAAAAACACAAATGCGGAGACATTTTTCTTGAAAGAGAAAAGAATCTTCGAGTATATCGAATATATCGATTTTTCACTTGGAAACTTTAGACTATTTCAACAAATAGGACGGATACCTAAGAGACGGCTGAAGGGATAAATCAAGATAAATCTCAGAAAGAGAGAGAGAGAGAGAGGGGAGGGAGGAGAAGGAGGTGAAACGTTCCAAGGGGTTGCTTATATCGAGTGCAGGGTTGGTGACAGGTACAATAGAGTCAAGAAAGAAGTCGAAGGAGTGACGTTTCTCTCGATTGAGAAATAAAGATATCGTTGAAGAAGCTGCGTAGCAGGTTGATATACATAAAGTGGGGACGTTGTGGAAATGGGTCAAGAGTGTCTTGACGATGGCAGTGTGGCAGCTTCTATTTAACGTGTCCCGCGTCGAATTGTGCTTGAAATCTATACGTGTGCCATATCGAACGCAATACAACGATTAATACTAGTGACAGGTCCTTTTGAACAGAAAAATTGCAAATGATAGTGCTGCAACATTAGTAAATCGTAATAAGTGTGTGTCATTATGCGAATTTCAAATCGCGTGACTGTTTCTGTGATTTAACGAACTAAACTAACAATCTGTGCGTTTATCGCGGATTAAATTTGCAAATTAAATTTACATCTTTATAAGCAACTATTTTTTTATTAATTGATGTAATACAAGACAATTAAAAATGTATATATGGAATTAATTTAAATTTCAGCTTACAAACGATACGAACTACACTCGCGTCCTCTTTATTTCACGATTGATAAAAAATCCATAGATTACTCTAAATGTTAATTCCGAGATTAAAGAATTTACAACGATGCCAAAGAACTAGTTGATCTGTGATGTAACGAACGCGAGATCATCCAAAAAGTACAACGAGAATCACAACGAGGAACCCAAGTTCGATGCATCCCGAGGTGCATCGCACGAGAGATGCGTTTATCGCGGTAGAAGCATATCCGGTCATCGTCCACGTACTGAAATACGCGAGTTGTCAATGTGATCGTGTCGTTACCGTTTCTCTTGAGGAGACGTAGTCGTCTCCTCTCAGATTGACGAATTCAACGAGTCTTCAGTCACTTTTTATGATTTACGGATCGCACAGAGCTACAGAGTCAGCAACCATCACGGGGATCGCTTGGCTTCACAACATCACCGTTCAAGGTAAATCATCCCTGTGAGATCTTATTTTATTATAGTCTTGTTTTCTTTATGTAAAAATTATATAAGAAATTTTATATAGCAGATCTCATATATTTTTAACCAATTATTTTGCTTGTTTTGTTTTATATATATGTATATAGATATTTAAATATTAATGAAGAAGAATAAACATAATTAATTAGCATTATGTCGAATTAATAATATACATATTAAATAAATAATTAAAATATACATATTGCATGCTGATTAATTTCTTATCGTGCTTTTCTACAAAAAAATTATTTATTCATTAATAAATTTACCCCATATTTTATTATGATTCATTATACTGTCCATAATATAATGATTTATTAATAAAAATAATATGTATAATATGTAAAATAACGGTCGTTATATATTAGGAAGTCGATAGATTAATTTCGTAGTAATCACTGACTGTAGTTTAATAATACAATTGTTTAAATACAAGTGCATCATTGCTCTCTCGAGCTATGAGATCTTTCTTAAAGAGATGTTTCTTATCAAGTTGTGTCTACATTTTTTTAGCATTATCTTTAGTCACACAGAACGTCGACCATGAAGATTAGGTGATGTTGTAAAACTTTACACGCGAGCGCGCATAAAGATTGATCGACTATGTCCGATACTTGTCCTACTCTCTCGGTGCCTATGTAATACCTATATTACGATGATCGCATAAAGCTTTACTTTCACCATCGTCAAAGGGGAGAACTATGAAATTCGGCCTATTAGCATAAGAGAGAGTTCACGCACGTAAAACGGTTTCGTCCACGTTTACGTAATATTCATCGCTATTCATAAGGTATACGACAAACAGGAAGTAATTTAAATTCGAAATTTTAATGTATATAATCACAGGTCACGATAATTAGTTATACTTGCTTCATGAAACATTCTTAATAATCTTATCTTAATAATCAATAATATTATATTCCTGTCTGTATGAATAAAGAAAAAGATTTTTTAATTAATGATATAATAAAATAGAGAAAATTTATAATCTACTAAAAAAAATTACAATAAAATTATATAAATATAGATTTTTATATTTATATAAAAATTTATATTTATATAATTTTATTATGTTGAGATTTATTCAAACTTGTTTGTAATTAAAAGACAATTACTATAAAAGAGATGAGATTAAGAATTTTAATTTTTTCATTAAAAATATGTAATTTATTATGGAAAAAATAAGATATCCAACAAATTTTTTATTAAGAAATTCAAAAAAGAATTTTGAAAATTTGATTTAATAAGCCACATGATTTTATATATAAATCTATCCTTTCATAAATAAAACATATGTTGTAAAATAAGACTATTTAATTATAGGTGAAATGAGCAGTAGCGGTGGATTCGGTGTCGGCGTCGGCGTCGCCGGCGTCGCCGGCGGGCCGACCCTCGCGGCCGCTCAGCAAGGTCAAGGAGTGGCCGCCCTTATGGTGATGCTTGCCGTTCTGTGCTTCATCTTTGCTTATTGCTGTTGGGGTGCGCCCTTCTGCCGATCCCTATGCAGACGACATTGCTGCTGTCGTCTGGAAGATCCTGATCCGGATCCACGGTTCGGCGGCAGCGATCAGGCCATGGTAGCAACGCCGACAATCATCCTCCTGCCACATGGCAGAATGCTTGTTGTCGACGGCACAATTTTCACTCAGTTCCAGACTGACCCTACAGGTAAAATTTAGGATTTCTGAAATTGAGGAAAGCGACTACGCAACTAGAGCGAATTAAAATAATAAAATCCATTATTTAGAAAATAATATAGAGGATTAAAAGTAAGAAATAAATTTGCTTGTAAATTAAAGATGATATTAAAGAATTTTTTGGACTGCGTTACACTTGGCATTCGCAATGCTCTTTGAATCACTTCATTCTTATTGTTTATTAAATATTAAACAAAGACAAATGATGCTCGCCAATATTATGAATGCCAAGTAGAATGCGTCCCTGATATATAATATGCATATATTAAATATATTGCGTATAAAAATGAGTGAGAAAACGTTAAATTTTGTAGTTTTTAAGTGAAGTATCTGCAATGAAAGAATTTTAATATAATTTACATGATCGTTTCTTAAATATATATGATTTGATAAAATCATATAAATTATGGAGAGTCAATATATAAGATACATATATTTTGCTGTAAAATTTTTGCCACAAAATTTTGATGATTTTCTTTAGAGTAAATAAAACGAGTATAAAATTTTTGGCAGGTTTAGACTTGGTGGAACTTGGCGATAGTGTATTGCGCGCTCAGAGAAATCCACGAAGCGTAAATCGTCATCAGTTACAGAGCAGTCAAGGCAGTATCCTTGAAATGGATGCTGAAACACCTAGCAAAGATAGCTTAGGTTCAGTCGGATGTTTCCCGCCGCCTACTTACGAGAGTATTTACGGCAAAGAGGAAACTGACATGCCTCCTTCATATTCTGATATTCTTTTACACAGGTACATTATTTTAAAATAAACCAGAAAATTATTTTTAATTTTATTAATTATTAATAACTATTTTATTAATATTGATTATTTTAAATTTAACTCAATTCGCAGATTCGCCAATTTACCACACGAAATTGATATGCATAGTTACTGTCGTGATGGCAAAGAAGAGATTGAAATGCAGAGTCTAGACAACTGTCCGCATATCATTGGTAATCCATTAAACTCGATACCTGGATATCATCCTTATGCTACGGTGACAAGTCTATCTAGTCTGCAGAGCTACCCGCGACGGAACGTTTCGCGCAATCCGTCCATTATCAGCAATCCATTAGACAACTTTTACGTGGACAACGAGCTTAGTCTCTATCGACTCAGTCGGGAGACGATGCCGCGGGTCTCCAGTAACGATGCGAACCTCGAGACCTTCCGCGCGTCTCACGACGAGATGTCTTTCCGTGTTCCGCTCGATGAGAACGAGAATCATCGGCACGCAAGCCGTAACAATTATCAAGTCGCTGGCAATGAACTGATGAATACGAGGAATCGCGCCCGCAGCGCTTCCAGATTGAGCCAGGATAGTCGTAGTTCATTGAATCGCGATGGAGACCAACATCAAGTTTTCGTCAGGTTGCCTGATCCCGAAGAAATCGAGGCTGCACGAGATAGACGTATCGATGAAGATCAGCGATCTCGAATGTACCGCGAGGATCAGAACATGAGGAATTTGCATCTTGATCATCCCCAATTGCAAGATGAAATCAATCGCAACATTGTTGAGGATGATCCCAGATACTTTGCGAGGAACAGGCGATTGGAGAATGAAGACAGAAATCAGGAAGCTGAGGCAGTTCAGTATCCCGATGAGGAAGCCGGTAATTTCGGCGCGCTCGCCGATATTCGCGAGAGCAGAGTGTAATCTAGACTTTTAATTGTGCGTTCGCATTTTTTCGAGTGATTGCCAAAGGGGCATTAACCGGATATTGTCAAAAATTCTTTAAAAGTACGTAGAAAATTTCGTTTGATTTTTCGTAACAAGACGTAATTCAAATTTGAAGAAACGTTTATGACCAAAAATTATTTTTATCTTCATCATCTTTATTAAAAGCTTGTTAAAAATGTCGTAGCATTCCAGTTTATAATTAACGTTAACATCTTCTTTTAATTTCGTGAAAAGGAATTTATTCGTGCCCTTTATACCATGTGAATTTGATATATGGTATACAACATCTCGCACGATAGAGAAAGAAAGTTGCGTGACAAGACAATTTAACAGAAATTGCGACAAGTTTCTATTTTAAGTTATAGGATATTATTTCAATCATATTTACACACAAATAAGTTGATATCAGGATGAAAATCGAATCAAGAAGTTGTGGTTACAAGATAAATATTGCATTGTGCAGAAAATATAAGACGATGTTATAACTGTATATGTATATATATATGTGACAATATAATTGTACGTGACAATTTAGTAAAATTCGTCACACATACACGTACATACACACACATGCATATTTCTGACAGATGATCGTACAGTATTGAACAACGATTTTTTCTTGAAAGTATATAATGTATGGCGACCAGAAAAGATTGGAAAGAGAAAAAAGAAAACATAAAGATAATCACAAGTTCTTTTGAGACATATTGGATAATGTGAAATATTGAAAATACCAAAGTACAGTTTTTACAAAATAATGTAGATAAAGATTTCAGTCATGCTATAAATTATGTTACATAATCGAAGTCCTTCCTGACAAGAAAACATCGATCACAAGAAGTTATCAAAATTCGAGCAGTTTTAAATGTGAACGTTTGTATGGGAAACATTGTGTTTAAATCTAACAAACGAATCATAGCAAAGTTAGTTCAGTCCGTCCAGGCTTTAACAAGCGCGCTTAAGTTTCACAAGCATCACCCATAGCAATTTAATCATGATTAGCAGTTTCCTTCCCTTTGATATTTTATAGATAAGCGCTAAAGAGATATCATGCCCATTAAATGGTGTTATACCATTTAAAAAATAATATGCTTCTTATATTATTTATAAAATACACTCTCTTCACTATTTTTGAATGGTACTATCCATTGGATACATCGAACGATTTTAATATTTGTGAAAAGTGATAAGACAGAAATGTCTGACAATTAAGAAAGAAAATGAAATAATATAACGAAAATTAAGCAAAACAGTTAAGTGAAATGTATTACATATTAGTGGAGTTTCAGGAACCAAAGAAGGATCTGTATTGAAATTGGATTATCAGATACAGCAAAGTATCAAAAATCGAAGCATATTTCAGAAAGTGAACGGTGTTGGCTTTAGATACACTTCTTATGTACACATATATACGTGTAAGACAATTATAAAAGGAATATAAAAGTTATACACACGTTATCACTGTTACCGTGTATCATAGGGACAAATCACTGACCGAAAGACACTGAGAATAAAATTCTGTGCGTGAAGCGTATATAAATACTGTGTGCCTTCCTAGTTTTTAGATTGCTAAATGAACAATATATAGACAACAGAATTTTTCGTTTTACAATAGCTGATTATTTCGACCAAGTTTTTTTTCTTCTTTTATTTTGAATCTAATCATAATAAAACGATAAGAAGCAACTTATTTTGTAAGATATAATGCTATTTTATCGAAAAGAAATATCTCCTTAAATATAAACGATCAATATATCAATAAATTAATAAACGATATCGATTTAAATTTTGTTTCTGATAATGAGAAATATAGTTTACATTGTACATATATATTATTATATTTAATTATAATGAATACTGAATTGTAAAAACGGAAGGCAAGACTAGTTATACTCTATGAATGCACAAATCAGTAAATTTATACTTAAGTTTTTGTGGGATTCCTGTTTAGCACTACCAACTCAGATCGTGACGTCAAAAACGAAAAAATACAACAAAAAGTCTTGCAAGTTGCATTATATTTTAATAGAAATAGTTTTCAATAAAACATTCGCAATCAACAGCGTAGATCTATATTAAGATATATTGAAAACTATCTTTTTGTTTCAGGGAGAAATTAAACCATATTTATATTTATGTATTATTAATTTGATAGTTTGTCAGAACTATGAATTATATATATATATTCATAATTCATTTTTAGATATATGTTTTAGATATATCGTTATTTATTAATTAAAAAAACAAAAGAAATTTTTGGTATAGATTACAAATCTATCTATTGTGCTTCAATAAAATAAATATATTTTCATTTTAATATATTTTACAAGAATTTTTATTTTTATTTTTTTATTTCTGATGTCATAATTTAAGATAATAATGGTAAGCAAACAACAGTCTTAATTCACATTATTTAGGTATGACAGTCAACTTGTAGTCGACGGATTCCAATTCTCTCATGTATGATTAATTTTATAAGAGATTTATTGGAAAATTGAAGGCTATGAAGTAAAGGAATAATCCGTTTCGAAAATCTATAGTTAATTTACAATTCACAATATTTACATGTTTATTCCAAGAAATATCAATGCAGTTAACTATGCACACAACTGATATCGACATTTTTATGACTAATTATAGTTATTTAAAAGAGTCGTATAAAAAAAGAGAAAGATCTTATTTTTAATCTACATCGCTGTTTATATCCTCAGGAGCTGAAGAATCCTCTTCTTCTACATTCTTCTTGTCCCAGTCTTTCAACTTAGCCCCCATAACAAAGTTATCTCGAAGAACACTCCACATTTTGTGATCCTTAAAACAAACATTGTTTCTATTGTTATACACAATTGTACATTGCAATGTAAAACAAAATGTACCAATATCAATAAACACAATTATATATGGCCTTCATATAAATGCATTAAAAAATTTAATGTTCATAAAAAGGTAAAATAGTATATTACTGTTATTTTTTTAATATTAAATAATTTAATATTTAATAAATAAAAATATTGAACATGTTAAAAAAAAATATCAACCTAATTTATATTATATTCATAATATTGATTTATACTTTCTTATATGTAAAGATTTTCTCACTTTGTTTTTATCATCTGTCTGCATAACAGAGTTTTCAGATTTAACATCATTATCAATTGGTATACTTTTACTGCCACCCATAAGAATATCAAGGAAGGCGTTTTTATTAATATTCTTAAATACTTGTTCGCGTTTTCTTTCTAAAGGACCCGCTTGCGATAATTTCTTTTTAATTTCTACTTGTTGCTGTCTTACTGCATTAAACAGTTGCACGACTCCTCTGCAAAATACAGCATGAAGAATTTATCAATATATAAATGACAGAAAATATACAAATCTACCTAATACCTACTTTGTGGCTATTTTTTGCAACATTCTTTCGTGCTCCCGATCTGTAATGGATGGTTTTATTCTAATACCACTGTTTTTTGTTATTCTTGATTTAGTCGGTGCAGTATTCAATGTAACACTTGTCTTATCAATATCTTCATCTGATTCTGTTTTGATCTCTTCTTTGATGCCATCAATCTCGAAGGGAATATCTTCTTTCTCTTTTATTTTTATATCGCACAACTTTTTTGCCTTGGCCAGTACAAGTGTTTTTTTTCTCTTCGGTTTATTTGTTTTTAGAATCTTTTGCATAACATCAGCCCAACCTGCATTTGTAATAGATCCAGCATCATATGATGCTTCATCTGTGTTAGCCTCCATTTCTTTACTGTCTGATTCATCTTCTTTTTCTTCATAGTCACTGTCATCCTCATTATCACTCTGTATCAATGCCATACCAGCATTGCTTACTTTATCTGTCTTCGATTGCACTATAAGATACAAATTCAACTCGACACTTTATCAAATGGATTCTTGGAATACTAAGACTGATAATAATAAGAGGATGGCATGTAGCTCCACGAGAGAGCATTTGGCTTATATAATTGACGAGTCTCAGGTTCAAGTCCTGATTCTCATAAGATGATCAAAAAATAGAAAGTATAAACGAAAGAATATATAGATTCCGTATTTTAAAAACTTCATGTTTTAAAAATTCATTTTAATAAGATAAAAGAATAACAAATGTAATATGTATACACACATATATATATATATATATATATATATATATATGTACACATATAACCTATAATATCAAGATATCTTTTTCATATCCTGAATTAGACATCAAAATTTGTGATATCATTTTTCTTCATTATTCTCAATTACGTATCAAAATCTGCAATATCAAAATTCTTCACAATCATTTTTAATATACATTCAAATCATTTTAGAAATGATGAATCCATCAAACTTGAAAGCATGTTGAAAAGGATAAGATAAAGTTATGTTTTATACAAATCAAAAATTATTTTTGTCATACTTTATACATTCAAATTATTATTTTTTTATCTTATTGAAATTGTAAAAAAGGAATTAATTGTTTGTGTCATACTTTATTCTTCAATTAACCCTTTATAAAATCGAGCATGTATAAAATAGAATAGAAGTCGAAATTAAATCCAGGATCCGCTGATTACGAATCGTTTTTATACAGAGCCATGTAGCATCCTTTTACTTATTTAAATAATCTTGTATAATTCCTTACTTGGTACACGTAAAAATGTGATATAATACACTGAACTATTTTACTCCAAGTACTTCAAACATAACCACGTGGTCGTCAACATAGTGAAAAAAGTACCCAGATTCTCTAGGAGATTCTAAATTGTTCTACCAGAGAGAATAGGTCTGTTTGCGTTGTATGAAATCCCCAAATATTTTTGCACTTAAAATAGAGATAGATATATATTTTGTCTTAAAAAGAGAGAAAACGAAGATGTCGAGTGTCAAAAGTGCAAGCAACGCGAACAGACCTAACCTGAGAGAGAACGTGAGGGCTTTTTTCCTGTAGTGGCAAAATGCCATTGCGCACTACTGCCCTCTGAAGAAATGGATGTAAATTACACAACAATAGCTATTTTTTGCGGTAATCCTGAATATCAATCATGAAACTTTTTTCCTAGGATGAAAAGTGAAAAGTAAAAAATTTCTCCATTAACTTCAATGGTTAAAATTTTCACTTTTCACTTTCTATTCTGAGGATAAAATTTCATGATTGATATCTTGATGGAAATAAATCGCTAATCGAAATAACTAAAATCTATTAAATTAATAAAGCTTCAGATTTCTCTCTGCCTGTATGCAGATCTTATTTAAGATCGTCTTAAGTAGTCTTAAGGATGTCATGAATCAATCAGAAATATAAAATACATAATAATTGTTTATACATTTTTTTACAACATTTTTGCTTATGTATATATAAGAGATATCTTATATTAGGTGTTGGAATTAATTCGTAGCGTTTTTAATGAAAGAATGTTATTTATTTCACATGAGCATTAAAAAATACATTAATGAAAGTACTTCCCATCACTTGTAAAACGCTACGAATTAATTCCAACACCTAATATATAAAATGCATGCATATCATAACACAAAATTCGCGTATATTTCAAGAAAATCCGAATTCTGTAATAACAATCTTTACATTTTTATTTAACAAATTCTTTAATGATACAATGTTTATATTAATGGGTTCTTAATCGAAAATTTCAATTTCGCATCTTCTACTGTGAAATAAAAATTGTTGAATTTTAAGTAATTCGAAACTGAATATTTAAACAGACTAATTTAGCGAATTTTGTCTTATAATACTGCATAAAAATGGAATTATGAAGATGTTTTTTTATGCAAATTTTTTCAGCCCGTTTTTACCAAATATAATTACTAGTATGTAAGTATATTCCAAAGTCTTTATAATTACATTAATTACTAACAATTATAGAGACTTTGAATACACTTCAAACTTTTCAATCATATATCATTAATTTAAAGTTTAATGATTGTTTAATGATGACAGTAAAAACGAGCTAGAGGCCCTCCCCCACCCCCGCCGATTTTATCGGCGGTCCTCTTTTCATTATAAGTATACTCACCCGTAAAAATAACGAGTTACTAATAAATTTAGTACTACGTTTTTGCAGGTAAGTATACTTCAAATTTATTTTTTATTTTAAGTCTAATTATTTCATTGTATTTTGCTAATCATATTGCATTATAATACAAAAAAATAATTAGCAATCATGTAGCATAATTTTTTTAATCTTTTATTGTAATCCTTTATTGTAATCCTTTATTCTATATTCAATAATACAATAATAATTATTTATAATACAATGTATAATTGTAAATGCTGTTCGAAATATTTATAATAAAAATTAGATATATTATTATAAGAACATAATTAACAAAATTTAGCAATGTGGGATTATACGAAAACATCGAAAATACATATAATAACATAAAATTTTCTAAATCAATGAAATATTGATAAAAGTAGAATGAAATACTAATAACAATTAGATTTTTTTTTACTATTAATTACTAACTTGTGATTATAAAACTTATTAATATCACGATAAAAAGTCGTTAATATATTTATGATGGCACTTTCATCGCGTTCAAGATAACTATCCCAATAATTTGATTATATCAAGATCCCTCCTTCTTGTGCTATTGGTTAATATCCGATATAAAGAGGAATAATCTTCATAGTAGAGAGTGAACTTAATGTATTTTAATTCTACATCAAATTCATAAGATCCATTCGCAAAGAAAAATTAAGCAATCCGTCAAACATCAGCGGTCTTGTTACAGTGGAGTGAATATTTCAGACCACTTACGATAATAATTTTGTTAGCATGTCAATTATAATTACTATTTTTATCACATCTTTAATATAATATTAAAATTCGCGAGAAAATATGTTCTGCCACATTATTAAAAATCTCTTATTAATTAAATATAAAGGGATAGAATGATTTTCTTATGGAATGTGATGGCGGGTTACGAAGGAATATATTTAATAATAATAAAATACATGCGTTATTGCATAT